AAAAGAATATTTTCATTTGATATTTTATTTTTGAAATTTTGTGTTTTTTTTAAATCTTGTATGAAATAAAAAGAAATCTGATACAGTAAATTATGATTATACATCTGTTTTTCATAAAGAATTTTTCTTATCGAATATAGCGAACTAATTTTTCTGTTGAGTTCGAATGCAAAAATTAATTTTATGTCAATAAACTCTCATCCTGATATCCCTAAAGGTTTCTTAAACTCACAGGTATTTTAGATATAAATAGTGAAAAATTTCAGTCAATATCTTTTGATCGACGAGGCCTAAATTATATATTTCATACAAATTACAACTATTATTTAATTTGAATTAGTTCAAAAATAAGTAAGTAAAAGCAAAATTCTTGAATACAAAGCTTTAATGATACCATAGAATATTATGAACTAAAAGAAAAAATTGCATTACATCAACATTATAAAAGATATTTATTGACAATATCAAATATTAGTACTAAGCAAGGACAATATCACAATTAATTGTGGTGGAAGAAAACAAAACACACAGATCTATTCAAATGATAACAGTAAAAACCAATGAAAGTAAGAAAGTCTTATAATTATATTAATTAATTATAAATTCAATTATTTCGAAGTATCATGTAAAAATCCTTTTAAAAAAATTCACCTTTAAAACAACAGTTGTGTGATAAAATGAAGAACTCGACACATTCCATTATGAATCATAGTTTAGCAAATATGATTTTCGCGGATTTTTAAAATGCTTGCTGACAGTTTTTTATTTTGTTCTTTTATCGTTATATCAATAAAAATTGTCTGAAGTGCTTGCCAAGATAAAATACATCATATAACATACTTCAAAAAATATTCCCTGGTAATATTAAAGGTCACAAAACTTCAAAACATCAATCACTATAATTTATAACTAGAAAATATTTACTATTTTAGTTGTAGATAAATATAGCTGACAACATATTGATATTAAAACAGCTAAGTAATTATTTATACGCGGAATAGAATGGATAATTTAGCATTCGCAAATAAGTAATAAAATCTTACTAAGATTTTTTTTTTAATTATTTCGCATCTACAATACTTGTTCTATGTGATGTTTTCATGACAATAGAGATTGATGTGAACGAAATATTTTGAAGTACAGAATAGAATCAACAGAATGAGAAATTTCGTCTTTTTTTTCTGTTTCTATTAATAAATATATTATCAACAAGCAGACCTATATTCGCTTTTTCTTTTTCCACCTTTAACTATTTCTTTTGCTGACAGAATCAAAACAATCATTTATTTGTTCTTAGACTATTGAATAAAGATTACAAACAAGTGAAAAGATGATTTATATCAACTAAAGATGATTGTAGGAAAATAAGTTTTGTTTTCATAATTTAACTTATATTAGACATTGATTAGTTATTAAATAGTATTTTAAAACAAGAACTTATTCATGAGGTGTGCATTTTTATTTTTCATTCAGATTATTATTCGTCTTGTTTTCTCCCCTGTTAAGTTTTGATGAAAAAAAAACAATTAAAAAAGATAATCAATTATGATAAACTATTGACAGAAAACTACCATATGAGAATTCTTCAATGATAAGAGTTATACAATTTTAGACAAATAAGACATTGTAAAAGTACCAGCAAGTTATACAGATTTCTTTTTTGAAAATAATTTCTCCTGAATTTTTTAGACTGTTGGCAAGATTTTAAGTTTTTCTAATAGCCATAAATGTATTACTATTGAGTAAATAATCAATATTTTGATCTGACCTTCTCTAAACTAACGTATTCAGTATAAAAATGAACGTAAAAACAGTAGCTAGAGGAGGGAGGAACGTCGATGTATAGAGAAAATCAATGGGCTCCAATAACATGGTTATAATATTTTCATTTTTCATTTAAAAAAGAAATTTCTTCATAAGATATCTGTCTGGTTTCATATCCTATCGATTAATGAAAAAAATTTCTCACAACCTTTTGAGTACATCCATCTAAAAGTGTTCTTTGAGCATTACTGTTCAAGTATATATTTATCCCATTTGGATCCAACGTATCATCGCGCTGATGTCATTGTGGTAAATGTTTTAATCTTAGTCATTTTGTGAAACAAGATATAAAAGGAATGTTGAAATATATAGGATGAAAATTTGGATCCGTTCTCCCGCCTCTTTGTTACGTCGTGAATCTTGTATGAAGTACAATTGTTCAATATGCCAGGTGCCACAATGATAATCATGGCAAATGGCAAGAATGAGAGAAAATCAAAATTGAATGTGAAAAAGGCCCAACCAGTGTTTTATCCAGGATTTTTTGGTATGTTAAACCTCAGCTTCAGAGCATGGGATCCAGATGAGACTTATGGAGGATGATATTGGAGCTAAATGATGAGGTTTTATGAAAAAATTTTTGTGATTGGAGTTTGCGAAAAGAAAATAATTTTTTTGCTTGCCCCCTCCCGGGAAATTTGTTTTGCTGTTTGTAGTATTCCATTTTTTAGAATGCCATAATCAGCTACATGGAATTTCACCGACAGATTTCAAATTTCATCGAAAAATAAGCATCCGTTCAGGAGTTATAACGTTTTGAAAGTTTTTCAGATGCTGCAAAAATTTTAGCAAGATTTCAAAACGTTATAACTCCTGAACGGATGCTTATTTTTCGATGAAATTTGAAATCTGTCGGTGAAATTCCATGTAGCTGATTATGGCATTCTAAAAAATGGAATACTACAAACAGCAAAACAAATTTCCCGGGAGGGGGCAAGCAAAAAAATTATTTTCTTTTCACAAATTCCAATCACAAAAATTTTTTCATAAAACCTCATCATTTAGCTCCAATATCATCCTCCATAAGTCTCATCTGAATCCCATGCTCTGAAGCTGAGATTTAGCATACCAAAAAATCCTGGATAAAACACTGGTCCCAACGATATATTTAATAATCAGACAGATAAGGTAACGAGCGAAGACAGTGGAGAATGTGAGAGAAGAAGGAGAATAAAAGTGAATGAAGAGAAAAATATCAATAAAAGTGAATGTAACTAATGAAAAACGAAAATTATATCAACACCAAAATATAAAGTGCGGACAACAAGAGAAGGAGCGAAATTACAGAACGAAACAAATGCACATACATAATAAGTATCAAAAGAAAACATCAGTGACAGTTGTGCCATCACATTCCCCATTCCAGACCCTGACAAACATTTCTAATTAGCAAGTTATTTATACATCGTGAGTATATTTTTAATGACTCAATAATAAGCAAAACCATCGACACATTAGAAGACTCGGAGTCTTCTATTCTGTCTTATCGTACACAAGTTATAACGGGAGGTCTTCTATTATGTCCTTCAAAAAAGTCATATTTTTTGGCAGTCTCACCAACAACCTTTAACTTTTATTCATTTTTATTAGATACATCATTAGTAAACGATTTTCATTAATTGCACACCCGTAGAATGAGAAAGAAACAGATGTTATTCCGTAAAAAACAAAAAAAGAGGCCGTCATTGATAATATATGCTCTTAGAATAATACAGTCAATGTATCATAACATCTTAGTACAATGTCCAATAGCATTCTTTGTTCGACAGAATAAAACCTGCCACTAGCAACATTTAACCTCCTCAATAACTAAATAACTGGAAACAAAGGAAAATTAATTTTTTTTTGTCAGACCTATTTAAGTCAGTTGCTGATGTTGAGATTTGATTAGTATTGATAGAATTCGTTCACAGTAGAATCTACCACTAATGTTCATTTCAGAGTTAAGTGGACATGAACATTTTTTCAATAGCTTTACAACAAAAAGAGGGATAGAAGTTGAGTTTTTAGCACTATCAAGACTTGACATTGTTCCATCCTTTTACAAAGTTAAAGAAAAATTCCAGTCACTTTTCTTCTGAGATACATCCTTAGTTTTAAAGATGATCCTAATCGTTTTTGAAAACAATGTGCCTTCTCAACTATAATATAATGGACAGATAGTCTGGCTTCTCCTCTATCGATCCATACAAGGCCAAACTCGCTAACTATTTCCGTTCTAAAAATGTAAAGATTATACTGAAGACTACTCATCAAATTTCGTTAAAATCTGAGCAGTTAACAAATATTTCCTTCTATAAGTTTTTACTTACCTTCGATTTTGTGATATGTTTTATTAACCTTCAAATTTCTTTTTTGGTACTAAAAACATCATCAAGAGATATACATTGAATTTATTTTGATGATAATGAATCAATATATTCAGTTAGTTCTCTTCAAATCTTATTTTATTGGTATTTTTATCAAAATGATTTTCTGAATTGAAATCGGTGAACCGACAAGAATTTAAAGATGACATAAGTATAACTTGAGAAAACCGAGTTTTATTTCAATATATAAAGAGAAATGCAGTCATAATGAAAAATTTTTCTTTTTTCTAATTTTTTCTATTATTTATTTAATTGTAACAGTAATAAATAGAATTTTCGACCATTGACTGTTAGTAACAAGCTGGTGAAAGCGGTCATCATCAGTATAATATCCAAATACAACAATAACTATTTAAATCCATATTCCATAATCATATCTAAATTCATAATTTAAATTCATAATTTAAATCCATAATCTAATACAAGACTTAAGACCAAAAAAGAGAAGGGTGTGGGTGTGGATGTGGGTGTGGGTGTGGGTGTGTGGCTGTGGGGGTGTGGGTGTGGGTGGGTGTGGGTAGGTGTGGGTGTGGGTGGGCGTGGGTGGGTGTGGGCGTGGGTGGGTGTGGGTAGGTGTGGGTGTGGGTGGGTGTGGGCGTGGGTGCGGATATGGGTGTGGATCTTGTTTTTCATACTCACATCCACACCCACACCAACACCCACACCTTCAGGTGCTTCTTAATTTTGCATTGACGCTGAACAAATACCAGTATTAGCTGGAACTGTTGCAACTGCTTGGTTTTGTTGTTGTTCAGTATTTGTCGAAATAGAAGCTTCTTGTTGTTCAGTATTTCTCGAACTAAAAGGTTATTGTTGTCTTTGAGCAGGATGTGCAGCTGCTTTAATAACACGAGCACCACGTAACCAAGGATTTGATAATGGATCAGTAATTTCAACATGTGGTATTGTTGTATTGTCTATATAAAAGAAAAAAAGTAGAGAATAGAAAACTTTTTTTTCAATACTTTGATTGTCATTAAATAATTGTGGAAATATTTTATGACCAAATTGTTCTGCTGATGTTGAATGAATTAGTTCTTGTGCATTATTATAAGTATAAAAAGCATTTAAAGAACATGGAACGCCTATCTATTGAAAAAAAAGTAACAGCTTAATAATAATATTTTAAATAAAATGTCGAATTATTTTATCATTTTTTTTATTACTATTCACCTGAATATTTCTTTTACGATAATGAGAACGTTCAGCGCCATTATTTAATTTATTTAATTGATCTGGCGGCAAATTTTTAATCATGTGGCCTATTGTCACGTCCTGATAAAGTTGTATGCTTGTTATTTTCTTTTTTAAATTTTCTACATTTGCAAACTCCTGGGAAAATTCTGCTGACCTTAAATTACCAATTGCTTTATCTCCTATACGATGTAACTCTTCTAAAGGATCATCCATAAAGGATATCTGATCAGAGGGGGGGGGGGGGGGGATTATCAAAAATCGGACAAGTTCGGACCAGTATTTCTGATCGATTTATGGTTAGGGGAGGACAAAGTCTGGCAGAAAGTACTTTCATCCAACTTTACGGAAAACACAAGAAAAATGGTAAAATGTACATTTTCTGCAAAATTTTTTCCTCTCTTCCCTAAACTTTCATTTCCCAAAAATCGGTTTTGGCTTCAGAGATCCCGAAAACTCCAATCTGAAGACTTTTTCCATAGCACAGATGGGTGTCTTCGGACGCTCATGGCACAGTCACACAGGACAATGCTCACAGACTTCTGTGGTCCACAGTATCGTCCCCAAATTCATGTACCTATCCAAATTTTTTCCAGAAACTCTGCAAAATTTCGCAGAAACTATTTCAAATTTTTGGCAAAAAGTCTCCAAATTTGGTAGGTAAGCACCTCCATCGCCCCGCCCCATAATCGGGCACCTGATCTGGATAGAGGGGAGGAAGGTCAGCGGCATCCAGACGTCCGAACGCTCATTAAAAATTTTTGCAACAGTTTTCGCAAAACTTTCAAGTAAAATTATTTTTCAGACAGCATTTGAAAAAGAAAAATCCATCAGAATTCCACGAAGCATTATCTCGACATAACCAGCTGCCATTTATCTAGCGTAAAAAAGGATTTGAGCTAACAAATATAACGAAAAATGTCTGTCTAGTCATAAATTCATGAACGACAGATTATTAACCCTTTCACAGCGATAGGACCCACCGGTGGGTCCCACTATAGTGGGTGTACCATAATGAATGGCCAGTTTTTGTATTTATTTATTTTTATCATCTAGTACGTTTATTTTAAAAACAAAATATGCCATAAGATGCAGCGTGAAAAGCTTTACAATATAGATAATATCGCGTATTTTACAGTTGCACTTTTTGTTTTCAAAATGAGCAAAATTCTGTGCGACCAATTTTCACCTTTGCGAAAACTTCATTTATTCTACAAGAACGAGAATTTTCTTCTTTCTTATTTCCTCCTTTTATCACCTAATGTTTTCTTTAAAAAAATTCATATATATAGAAGATGCAGCGTGAAAAGCTCTACGATCTACAAAGGCCTATTTTAATTGTGCACTTTTTTGGTTTAAAAAAAATCAAGTTTCTGTGCGATCAATTGTCGTAAGGTTGAAAATTGGTCACGCAGAATTTTGCTCATTTCGAAAACAAAGAGTGCAACTATAAAATAAGCGATATTATCTATATTGTAAAGCTTTTCACGCTGCATGTTATGGCATATTTTGTTTTTAAAATAAACGTACTAGATGATAAAAATAAATAAACACAAAAGCTGGTCATTCATTATGGTACACCCGCTACAGTGGGGCCCACCAGTGGTGGAGGGTGGGTGTGAGGTGTGAGGTGTGGGTGTACGTGTGGATGTAGGTGTAGGTGTAGGTGTGGGTGAGGGGTGGGAGCGGGAGTGGGTGTGTGGGTGTGGGGCGTGGGTGTGGGGTGTGGGTGTACGTGTGGATGCGGGTGTGGGTGTAGGTGTGGGTATGGGTGTGGATCTTGTTTTTCATACTCACATCCACGCCCACACCCACACCCACACCCCACACCCCACACCCACACCCCACACCCACACCCACACCCTTTAAAACTAAGGATGTATCTCAGAAGAAAAGTGACTGGAATTTTTCTTTAACTTTGTAAAAGGATAGAACAATGTCAAGTCTTGATAGTGCTAAAAACTCAACTTTTGTCTCTCTTTTTGTTTTAAGGTTATTAAAGAATACCCATGTTCACTTAACTGTGAAATGGACATTAAGTGTAGAATAGTTTTGATTGATATTTGTAGTTTTACCGATTGAAATACCGAGATTCCGGAATTTCGCCAATAAGACTTTCGCCAATACATTTCGTGGAGTTTTGCCAATTGGCGAAAGTACGGCGAACTTTCGCCAATATACCCCCGGACTGTCGCCAATTGACGAAGGTACAGTGTGCTTTCAGCAATTTCATTGTAAATTAGACGTACACTAAAAAAATTTTTCTCACCTACATCGATGAGTGTAAACTATGATATATATATTTTAATAACATTAACTTCAGTGCTGACATATATCCTATATTAATATTGTTCCGTGACAACTGAGATAGTCCACCTCACTTTCGCCAATAGATTCTCTGGAACTTTGCCAATTGGCGAAAATCCACTGTACTATCGCGAATACATTCCCTGAAACTTAGCCAATTGGCGAAAGTTTACTGCACGTTTGCCAATATATCCTCGAGACTTTCGCCATTGGCGAATGTCTTATTGGCGAAAGTCTTATTGGCGAACATCCCACCACCCGAAATATCTTCATTCTTATTTCGAAAACACCGTCAAATGAAGACAGCAAATCATAAATTAAAGAAATCTGTAATTTGAAATGCTAGCGTCAATTAACCTGAAGTCCTAACATGAAATTTGTAATATAGTTTGCTTAAATTTATCAATGATGCCGATATGACTACGGACTATAGTAGAGTAGACAGTTATGTGTACGATCTTCTTCTTCGAATACATTTATCTATATTTTACAATGAAGAGATCTAATTTTTTTTCTATAGAAAAGCTTTTTCCAAAACTATTTTTCTTATTCAAGCAGTATTAGTGAAGCGATATGGCAATCGTCTTAAATGCAAACTTAAAGTTATCATAAGGTATGACAGATCATCATTATAGATTGTTTTTTAAACAACAGTAATTCGCATATATGTCATTTTTCAATTTGATCAAATTCATTTAATAAAATCGAAACGGAGTCAACAATTCAACTAATTAAAAGTTGTAGCAAATCACAAGAGGAAAAGTTTTGTCTTAAATCAGAGCATAAGAATGAACAAAGATATTTTTTAACTTCTTTTGATAATTTGTAAATAATTATATCAATCGTAATTTCGATGAAATTCACTTGAAAAATATTCATTGCAAGCTTTAATGTCATTGTTCATTCGCATATAACAGATAAAAATACATATGAAAATCTGAAATCGATATTTGAAATGCTTTAGAATTATGAAGCTCATCATTCTGAACAATTTTACTCTTGGGGGAGTGTCTCAGAATCTCTTATGAATCTGCTAAAACTTGAGTTTTAGTGTGCCTAGCAAAATCTACTGAGATTATACATTTACCGCACAAGCTCAATGACGACTATACAATTCCCCATGTGGGATAATTGTATGCAGCATTTTTTTGGAAGCGCTTTTTTCAAGCTTTTAAAAAAATACTGTCTTGACTTATGACCTTAATATTAGTTTAGAGCGATGCAGAAGACTTTTCGCTGTTGATCGGTAAAAAAAACTACAAAAAAAAACAGTGCCAATTGCTCAAAAATTAGGTTTTAAAGAATATATTTAAAAAATGGCTGAGATTATACATTTACTCTAATGATATCAGTGCATAGAAGACTGTGAGAAGTTTTTTTGCACCAATCGATAGAATATGAAACCAGGTAGGTATCTTATGAAGAAAATCTTTTATTTAAAATAAAAAGGTGATAGCCATTCTACTAAAGCTCAATGATTTTCTCTAAACCTTCAACCTCCCCCCCCCCCCTTCACTCCGATTACTCTGTCTTTTTTGTTAAATGAACCGAAGTTGACATCTGATTTTCGTGCTATTTTGTTATTTCTTCATCCAGTCAACTTGATTTTACTGGTATGTTAATCAACTCAGTATTCATTTTCAAATCTAATTCAATTCTAGATTTTCATTGAATTGTTAATAAAACAGCAAAATAAATTCGAAATGAACATAATATCCGTTAATCAATCTTGATTCTTTAACTTATTTGTATCAATTAAAATAATATCGCATATTCGATAGATTGTTTCTATCAAACAGAATCTATTCATGAAATTCAAAGTAAGTTGTCCGATCGTTTCATTATGCGATTAATATTCTTTACTTGATTCTTCTAGTTCATGAGCAATAATTTTAAACTTTTCATCATCAGAAAATGATTAGACAAGAAAATATTTTAATTAAGATAAATCGAAGCATTCAATTACATTATTCATTTAGAATCGTTGATGGACTTTATATTCGTATTTTATTATGTTTCAACAAACTAAAATTTTATATGAGCAATCATTGGATTCAGTATAAAGTTTGTCGTTTATTACATCTGAACAAGAATTCTCTAATATGAATTGTATCCTTTTTGGATTTATTTATCTATTATTTTTTTATAAAATATAATTTTAAACAATTTTGATTTTTAACTACCCTACGATGTATAAGCATCAGCACAAATGTTGAAACTTGTTGTGATCGAATGAAAAGTACCGGAAACTCAACTGTTTTTAAAACTGCTAAAAATGGCTTGTTAGCAAGATAAATATTTTAGTGCTGTTTCTTGTTTTAACTTGCATTATGTCGAGTAAAAAAAGAAGATAGTGAGTTCAAACTTGGAAAGAGAAAGCTGAAGAATCTAGATTTTCTATTTTTCTACGTATTCAGAGTAGACAGCAATTAGCGTTAAAAGCAAAAACGTTCGATTCCACGATTTCTGACGAACGTTTTAAACATTTGTAAGTAGGGACGCACCAATTCCTAGAATGTGATTTTAAAGATGACACTTTTTTTCTTATTAAGAATATAGTCCTTGTGAATTGTTTATATCAACTATGATCAGTTTTGTTTTGTTCTATTCGATACGGTAGTGGAAATCTTTGAGATACAAAATAAAGATTTTGGAATTGATCGAAACTTTTCATTTTTTAGTTCTTCTCGATCAACTCAAACTGACTTTAAGACTTGTATTTTGCATTAGACAAAACCTAAGAAGAGCTTCGGAAAGAGTACTTAAAACTGATTACAATTGCCATGAAAAGCTACTAGGAGTTCCATAATTCTAATATTGAATATTATGACCTGCATCCTCTGCAGATGCAGCCGTAACGATTATACATATGGACTTATGTTGTTCTTCTTTTCTTTTATTGTTAATCATGCATCATGGATTTTTTTCTTTCCTTTCATATATGTTGGAATTTTCCGTTTGTTCTATTCGTTTTTCATTCGTGTGGTGCCATGAATATGTTCTTCCTTTATATATCGTTTATGGAATTTTCCAACTCTTGTTATCGCTCTCTATATATATATAACGTCACATTGTTGTGTAGAGTCGATTGAGTCGAGATATAGTTATACAGATAGAACACAAGTGGAAATAAGATTTCACACTGAAAATATTCTAAACTCTCATTAGAAATCTAAGGAATTGGTTTATCCCTGTTTATAAGAATCCATGCCAAGTATTGAGAATTATCGGGCTTCTAGCGATTCTACATGCCAGTTTTGAACGTGCTTTCGAAATTATTCTTAGATTTTACATTGGGCAAAACCTAAGTCTCAAAATCAGTTTAAGTTGGTTAAAAATTCGCATTTTTTAATTCTTTTCGATCAATTCGAAAACCTTTGTTTTTTTTTGTATCTCATAGATTTCCACTACAACATCGGGTAGAAAAATACAAAATTGATCACACTTAATATAAATAATCCACAGGAACGACATTCTTAACAAGAAAAAAAGATGTCATCGTTGAAATCATGTTCTAAGACTTGGTATATTCCTACGTGTAAGTACACAAACTTTTAAAGATGTCTAAAATATACAGCTTTTATGAGCCCTACAAGAATATGTATGAAACAATTGAACAATACATTCTAGTAAGCTCATAAATAGCGAAACAGAAATTGCATTTGGCACCAATTTCGACGTAAATTAAAACTTTCAATAACTCGAAAGAATTGAATTCATTTGACTTAAATTTTTTTACCAATTACAACTATATAGCTACTCAAAATTTATATCCAGTGTGAAAACATTAAAGCTAACATACAGCCAAGATATGAAAGCATTCCTTATCTCACCTTTGTAACGAGCCATTTTTTATAGTTTTAAAAATATTAAAATTTTATGTTTTAAACTATTTCGTAAATTTTATTTTGCATATATATTTCAAAGTATATATCTTGCTCTGTTTGTGAGTGAAATAGTTAGACTTCGAGGATTTTTTTTTTGTTTGAACACAGCAGATCTCGACATTTGTACGAACACTGCTTATGTATCGTAGGTTAATTTCAATGTTCAATGAGAAATTACTGTAAAAATTCTTTCTTCGTGTTGGAATTTTTTATCGGTAATAATTCATTATTTTTTTGCTTGCTCGAGCCTACGTTAAACTGCAAGAAAAAAAAACACTTGAAAATTAATATTCAGCAAAGATTATTTTTATTTGAGAATCAATATTTTAAAACGCAGGTAGATGAAAAACAATATTATTTAGTTGATCAGTTGGTTTTTTTCTGAATAGTATGTGAGACACCTATACTGTGTTCTTTACCAAAACATCATAAGATCTTTTTTCTTACCAATCATTTTTTTTCGTTCTTGCGTAAGAAAAAAAACCAGTCTGGGCGAATGTCAAAAAAAAATACATTAGTTTCATAAGTGATTTTTGTATTACTTGCTAGTAATTAAACGAATATAACATAGCCTACTACTCTTTATTATAGATATGAAATATTGAAATATGGCTCTTCAACCACAAGAGAGTAAATTAAAATAATACTCTAATATCATTTTTTTTTGTCCATTGTTATCTATTTTAGAATACGAAGATCTTTTCAATTTATATGCTGATACTAGTGTTGAGACTTCTCAATACTCTGAAAATACTATAAAAAATTCCGTAACAGAAGTTACTTTTAGTCAAAGTAAAGTTTTGCTTTTTCTACGAAATGTAGTTTTTTAAAATGTTTGTTTTTTGTTTTATTTTAGTAACAGATATCGTTAGTGATGAGTCAACAGCACCATCTTCATCAAATAATAATCTATTATCTGATATCGAAGGTATTTCAATATTATATATATTTAAATAATCTATTTTTATTAAATATAGATTTCAATGATATTGATAAAAGTTTTTCAAATGCATCCGGTTTGTTATAAAATCATATTTCGATATATTATTCATGAATAAAATTATTTTTAGATATCGAATATAACATTGAAAAATTGCTGAAAAATCAAGAGTTTAATTTCATAGATTTGGTTAGTAACTGATTGTATATTAATAGTCAATTCTTACTGAGAAATTTTGATTTTAGCCGTGCGATGAAACGACTAAGTGGTTACCAACAGAATTAGATAAGATCGAGTTGGACAACATCGATAAATCGATTCAGGATCGAGAAATGAGCGTTGAAACTCAACCACCAACCAACATTCGTCGACGATATCGAAGTGATGGAAAACGTCAGATTGAAAAATCTCGTACTAAGCCAATGGCAATCAAAGTATGTTCAACATTTGTTTTTCTCTTACAATCGATTTTATTTCACAGTTTGTTACTTGTTTTAGTTGCCAAATTTAAAAAATTGTACATTAAATTCAAATCAATCATTTTGGATTGAATTAATATTAATAACTACTCAAGAAAATCCTGCCAACAAAGTATTTATTCATATCGATCAAATAGAATATCATGCAAATAATGTACCAGAATGTGATCATGGATATGTACGAATTCCATTAACCGAAATAGATATTCAAATGGGAATAAAACAGTAAGAAATCTTCTTTGTCTAATATATTAATCTTATTTCAAATTTAGACTAGCCCGTGTATCAATCATCAAAGAAAAATTAGAAGCATATACATTTGAATTAATACCATTCAATCATTCGTCAATAGATAATTCAGTTGAAATATGTATGTAGATTTTGTTCTTCAGTTTTTTTTATAATAATTAAATATTTTCTTTAATACCATAGATGAAAATGAAAATATTAAATCATTTATTAAAAAAGCAAAACTTTTTCGTGACACATACAAGTTAACATCAAGTCGTATTGCTTGTCAATTACTCATTAAACAAAATGAAACATGGCATATGACAAATATTGTATGTGAAACAGATGTTATGAAAGAAAGTAATTAATTAAAAAAAAACAAAAATTAGGTTTTTGAATAAATCGTTTTCGTTTTTTCAGTAGAAAAATCCAAAAAATCAAATAAGCGATCAAAATCTTCTAATATTAGAGATGATGATGATGATGATGATGATGATGATGATGACGATGATTATTCAGTTCATTGTCGAAGTTTGCCCAAGAAACGAAAACGATCTTCACCATCAAAGAAAAGTTTACGGGTAAAATATAATCTTTTTTTTCAGAAAAAAAATTTAATTATCTTTTAAATATTCTTTTTAGGTAACACGAGTTAAAAAATCGTAAATCAATTTTTACAAAACTATATTATAACTTGATCTCAATTACTGTTTAGTTTGATGTCGTTATTTCTGATTTATTTTCTGTGCATTATGCTTTTTTTTACAGTTATATCTGTTTGTTTTTATTTCTATATGCTTTTTAATCGCATAATATGAAGTCAAGAGTTTGTTAAACAAATAAAATAATAGTTTATTGTTATCATATTTTCAATGAATATAATTGAATTTTTAATAATATGATTAAAAACAAAACAAGATACTTGGAACAATCCATGAGTTTATTTTGTTGTTGTTATGAATTTTGTAAAAATATGTCAATAAGAAAATATGTTACATATATTTTTATTGATTGATGAAATTAAACATTTGATTATTTTTCAATATTTAATAGTAGAATTGTTGACAGAGAGTAATTAAATAATAATAATAATAATTAATAATTATAATTGCAAAAAACAACATGAGACATCTATGCTTTCGAATTCTCTATGAAAAAAAATATGATAAAAAAAAATTTTTCCTTCTTATTCCGTTCTTTTTCTCTTACTTGATGGAAGAGAACTGTAGGAAAAGAGGGTAGTAGAATTCAAGCATTTTATGAGAAAGTGGCGTAGTAGTCGGTTCATCATTTACAGTCAAATTACTAATTGATTCTTTTAGTAAATATTATTAAACTTTTGTTAGAAAACTTTTCATATTATTTTAGATTCAAATTCTTATATAGTGAAACGATCGATATGGCTTCTCAGCCACCTGATTGTAAGTTTATCTATTTTATTAGTCTTTTAAAAGAATTTCATTTTTATGTTATACTTTAGTTTGCGAGGATGAAACAACAAATAATTTTATCGATTTTGATCAAATTTTAAATCCTCCACATGGTTTTTGTAATGAATACGAAATTTTATTTTTTAGTGGAGGTAAATTTCATTATGAAATACTATTAAAAATGATGCAAGTTATATTATTATAGGTATTGGAACATTAAATACACCTACACTTGAAATAGCTAATCCACTGATTCAATGGGCACAAGCAAAACACGTCAATGATAACAATGGTGAGTTTTCTGTACAACTTGAATATAGTTAAATATAGTTCTCCTTTTTTATACATGTTTGTTACAGGTTGTCAAGAACTTTCTTCATTACCCATTAATCAAGGTATTGTTAAAGCAGTAGAGAATTAATGAAGAACACTATGCTATGAGAATTTATTTGTTAAATTTTAGAACTAACAGTTCCAAGTCAAAATACAAACGAAGAAATTGAATGTATACCATTAGGTTTGTAATTATTTTACTATTTGTGTTTTAATTCAAAAGAATAAAATTTGTTTTCGTTTTTTAGATGTTCAAGGTAACGATAATGATATAGAAAATAATTCACATCAACAGTTGGATGCATACGAGGAAGAACAAGTACTACAATCCATCGTAAATGATGTTCGTTAATTGCTAATTCTTTTTTTTTTTTTATAAAAAAATTAGTTTCATATTTTTATTTCAGTTACAAAATATAATAAGCAACGAAGAATCTAATACAATGGATGCACAAGCAGTTGTAAATGCTATCTATAGCTATAATAATCCAATCATGCGAATGCATACACAACCGGTTGAAAGACATCGTTTTCGTTATCGTTCTGATGGAATTCGTTATTTAGAACAATCTCGTCGTAATCCAATGTGTATTAAAGTTGTATCTTGTTCTACTTAATTATATTTTATAAATTGATTTTTCTTTTGTAGTTACCTATATTGCATGGATGTTTAATAAAAGCAAATCAATCATTTTGGCTTGAACTTACAATAGTCACTACGAAGGAAAATCCACAACGGAAAAGATTTATTCATCAACATGAAATGATCAATAATGAAGCAAATGTACAACAAAATGGTTTAGGTTCATTTCGTGTTTTATTAACAGATGAAGATATTCGTCGACGAAAAAAAATGTAAGAGACAAATACATGCTTTTTAATTTATTATATATCTATATATTTTTTAATGATTCTAGATTTCGGCATTTATCGATAATTAAAACAAAACTTGATGATTATATATTTCAATTAATTTCATTTGATCCTTTGATAGAAGATAATCATGTGGAGTTTTGTATGTACATCATTATTATCATCATTTTTTTTTGTATTGTTTTATTTTAACTAAAAATATTTATTTAGATACATTGCCAAATGAAGAACATATGACAAAAAAACAAAAAGCAAAATGTTTTGATCGAGTATATCATACAGACAAATATCAAATTTTTTGTCAATTAATGATAAAACAAAATGATCAATGGTATATGACACCTATTTATTGTAAAACACATGAAATTACAGACATTTAAATATAATTGATAAATCTTAATAATAAACAAGATGCTATGATCCAAAGGATCAGCGATGAATACGTTAATATATAAGTATTCTTGCTAAGGTCTTCATCCGCTGATAATTATTTTTTAGTATTATAATTAAGAAATTAATATTATATTTATTCTTGTGTTTTTTTTTCTTTTATTTGTAATTCATTTATTCAAACTAATAAACAAGCTAAAAATAAATTTACAATAGACTCTATATAATATAATCTATATATATATTTTTTTTTGACGATTACAAAACACAAAAAAACTAGAATTCTATTTACAAAGTAAAAATAATCATATCTAAAGTAATATAAAGTGGTTCCACTCAATGATTCATTTATGGTATTGCATCATTTTGTTTACTAGCTAAGTAATATTGATGATAAAATTTTACAAGTAGATATATATTTCAAAATATTTTCTTTTATTTTTATATTTATATCTAAATAAATAAACTTGTGAAAATGTTATGTCGTTCTTCAGACTCTTTCGAATTATTCATTAGTATTTTATCTAGGCCGATAGAGTACACCATAACTTACTCATTATCGGAGAAAATTTATAAGATAAAATTTTCTGTTCGATTTCTTTTATTTTAATAATAAATTTTCTTTCTATTTCATTTCTTTTACATTTATACTTCAACAAATGACTAATTGAAATTATTATAAATCACTTTTTACGATCAACTTTTGAATCAAAAACAAAAAAGCGAAATGCAACTATTTTTTTTTCTCTTCAAACAATTATGATATTTGTATTCTATCGTCATCTGTCTAAACCAGTTCTCTTGTTTTTTGTCTCTTCAGTTACTAATAGTCCTTATTTTTCTGACTCATATCATTGCAGAAGAAAAAAACGGAGAGAGAATGTCGTTTCATATTTTTACTTTTCCATTGTGGGAAAAAATGTTGTTGTCTGGAGGAACTCACTTTTTACTGATTATTTTTCTTTTTAAAAGTAAGAAGTATAACGTCTTTTTTCAATAGTATTATATACAAAACAAAATCATGTCTAATCAAGTAGATGAATGTATGTAAATATTTTTTCAAAATTGTTTAATAATATTTTGAATTCTTTGTTTTGTACAATTCTCATAGTAAGTTGGTTGGATGATACTAATATTGTTCGATATATAAAAGATTTATTCGATGATAAAGATCTATCAGACTCTGTTCAAGATTTCCAGTTTAGCAATGGTAAGATTCGTTTAGTAAATTCTTCCAAATTAACAGTTTAACATCTTGAATTAGTTGTACTGAAAAAGGATAGTATGGATCTATCACCAATGTTAAAGGACTACTCGGATACAAATATCGATAATGATTTCTTGGATAATTTTCAAAGTATGTTTTGATTATTATTACAATGATTTTATTTTTATCTATAAAATATTTTCAGATCCAATTGTTTCAACAGATTTCATTAGTCCTGCACTAGGTAAATCATGATAAGTATTCTCAACATTATGTACAATTTTTTTGTTAATTTCTACTATAGACAATCACTTGACCATTGCTGCTATCTTAGCCAATGAAGGATTTATAGGAGACGAATTTGACGAAATTCAAATCGACAGTTCACCTGAAGACACAGTAAGTTGTGTTTCATTTTCTAGATAAAATAAAAAAAAGATTATTTATAAATTCTATTTGTTTTATATAAGATTGTACCAGAAGATAACAATCAACCGGATATAAGCGAAACTCAAGAAACGATGAGTTTCGAGGAAAATACAAATCAATTTGCTGATATTGTTGATGCAATGATTGTTAAAGAACAACCAAAAGCTGATCAACGTGCTCGTTATGAAAGTGATGGTCCACGATTTTTACCTGATTCAAAAAAACATCCAATGTCTATTCAAGTTTGTTTTTTGAAATATTATTTATCTATAAATATTTTATCACTTAAATCTATTATTTATATTATATAGTTGCCGAATTTATCATCAGCATCATTGTCTGAAAATACATCATTTGGAATTGTTGTAACCATGGTAACATCAACAAAAAATCCAAAAAATAAAACATTTGTACATGTCAATGGTATCAAATATCGTACTGAAGATGCAATTGAAATAGATTATGGAAGTATTTTTCTTCCATTAACTAAATCGGATATAATAAAATGCGAAAAAAAGTAAATAAACATTGACTAGAATATTATTTCTGAATATATAATTTCCATCTTTTAGATTTCCACGTTTATCTAGAATCTGTAAAAAATTTGAAGATTATACATTTGATTTAACATCATTTGATACATCAACTGTAGAAAGAATAACCGAAAAGTGTTTGTATTTTGTTTTGTTTTTTGAATTTTTAATTAATTTTTGTTTGTTAATTAAAGATACACTTGCAAACGAAGATAGTATTGGCAAAGTTGCAAAAGGAAAACAATTTACTATTGATTATGATCTACTTTGCTATAAAATCATCTTTCAATTAGCATTGAAGCAAGACAATATTTTTATAATTTCACATATTAAATGTGAAACGGATTTAATTAATGAGCGTGAGTATATGACATTGACGTATATCGTCATCAATCTAAATAATTCTATCTAATGTTTAGAAAAAACAGCAACAAAAAGTGTTAAACGAAAAGCTTCATCAAATAAGAGAATGCCCAAAAAAAGAAAGTGCAACAATTATATGTCGACAATGAATTCATCCAAGAAATTCAATTCATCGGCATCAAAAACCGCCAAACGCTCAGTAAATATTTTTTCATTAGAAACTTATCTATAATCTATTCAAAATCAGAAAAAAAACGAACGATTTAGAACATAGGTCTACGAGAAATCAAAGTTCTCCCGTTTTACTTTTACACTTACACACCTTTTAACGGGTGACACGACAGTTTAGCTTCGGGATGTGAGTATGATTCTAGGTGTTAGTTTTCTCTACATTAATATACACACACTGACATTCATACCCATCACCACGTTATTTGGCTATTATTTGTTCGTCGATATCGAAAACTATCAACAAGAAGTTAATGTTTACCTTTTGATGATTGTATAATTGACATATTTAAGAAGGGATAGATAAAGAATGGTCGACCATGTTTTCTTTGTTTCGAGATATATATTATTCGTCTAGTGAATAACTAATCAAATACCAAGAATTCTTTTTATTCTTTTAAAAAGAGTCACTGACGCATTGACCGAGGAGAGTGATTAATTAGTTGTATATATCGTTATCTGGAATGTTATCGAATCTTAGTGAATAATGTACATATAGCTTATTATTTATTTTGATTAAAATCTCATATGGAAGGTCTAAATATCGGGGATTCTACTATCGGAAGCTCAACTACCGAGGATTCATTTGTCGGGATTCAACTGTTACAGACTCATCTGTCGATATGTCTCTCTTAAAGCTGTAAGAATAGTTTGATCGTTTTAATCCCTTTATTCCTTTTGGATATGGGTGTAGGTGAAAGTAACACGGTCACCCACGCACACATACACACCAAACTCATGTCCAAAAGGGCTAAACAGTCTGAAAGAACTAAGGGGAGTGAAGAGCCTAAAATAGGTCAAAGGTACTAAAGAAACTAAAAGAAATAAAGAATAAAAATATGAAAGTCATAATAGCTTAAAATGCATAGAATTATAACGAGATAAATTTTATTTCTTGTGAATCTCTCATTTCGAAATTTCAAATTTTATTATATTAATTACATATATCACAGCGTCTGGACAAATGCCATACGGGATGTTCTTTTTTAAATGACTCTCGCTGAGATTCGTGTAACTAGGAAAGTTGAAAAAAACATGATTGTGTTCTAAGAATGATTTCGTAGAATAATTGCAGAGTTCTATAATAGCATTTATCTTTATTCTATTTCTTTTTATCTACTATGAGAGAAGCTATTCCCACTAATAATACAAAACTTTTAGAATGAATGAAATACTCGATTTTAATAATAAAACTATTGCCGTTACTCTTTTTATAAATTTATCAGGATTAATTGGTCAAAGATAAATATGAACTAATGTGCTCCTTAGTTGAACATATTTATATATTAATTCCATCTAGTATCTTAAAAGTTATTTGTTATTTATAAAAAAATAAAAATAACAATAAAGAATATGATATATGAATATATGATTATCATTTAAAATTCTATAATGTTGTTTTCTTTTTTTTTTCTAGTCGATTCGAAAATCTAATTTTAAAAAAAATCAAGCCAAAGGTCCATATGTGGATAGCTCGTGACTGTCCTTGCAGAATGGCCTCATCCGCCGCACAACGTCTTTCGTCGTGCTGTAGCTATTTTGTTCTAAGAACACAGTGATCAAAATATATAAATATTTATTTTCCCTTTTCATGTTTGTTTTCGTTTATTTCATGTAATGACTCAATAATTACCCAGTGCCTCTTTTTTCGCTTTTACTATATTTAATTCATTTCGTGTGGTATGAGTTTTGACTAATACAATAAACATATATAATATATAAAAGAGAAATTATTTATCTAAAGAATGGTTTTTTTTTTCATATTCTGAATCATTTTCTTCGTCTATTTTCTGTGTCATTACGTTTTTTTGACATAAGCGTAGCGCTTTTTTTTTTCTTTCTTTGCCGTATACATATTCATATACATTTCGTTCTTTAGCATTCTATTTGCACTTGGGATTTTTTTTTATTCTTATCGATGTACGTCGTTATGACAAATGCGTCATAGAAAGAGAACCGAACAAAAATAGCCTTGTGTAAATGGGAGACTAGTAGAAAAAAAGACGGAGAGAGAATAAGAGAACACAAATGAAGTTGGAAAAAACCAAGAATTGGAAAAAAAAATGATTTGTCAAGGTAAAGAGAATAACAAAAAAACCCATAGTAAATACATAAGTAAATACATTTTTTCTGCCTTATCTTTTAACAATTATCATGAAAAAGTGTGTTACGTCAGTAGTAAGTAATCCGAACATTTTCGACTCCACTAAATAACACCACGTGGCTGTGTCTATATATTTGCTTTTCTTTTTATGAAAGAAAATTACATATACATTCCTATATTTTCTATCAATAATAAAAACACATTTGCTAGATTTATAGATTTATTTTTACTTGCAACCACTAATAGTGGTTGTTGACATGTTATTGTCTAAACCATTATTTTGTTACACATCACAAATATGAACTCTATGGAACAACAAAGTAAACATGAATGATTAATCAAGTCATGTTTTATAATTATTGTTTTTTTCAGTCAACACATCCAATATTAGTCCAATGGATAATCTTGATTTTATTCTTACATCCAGTATGTATCAAATAATATATATATATATACGTATAACTAGTTCTCCAATCTACTTTTTTTTTTTTGAAGATGTCAGCCAGTCATCATTATCAACTGAAGAAATCGGTAATATAAATATACTGTTGTCATTATATTTGCTCATAAAATATATAAACTTTTTTTTTTATTAATAATTTAGGTACTCGCGTTCGTTATGATTATAATACATGGGAATCATTTTATGAGATCGATGTTGCGGGTTAATAGATATGACAAAAAAAAAACACACAACTTTTTTTATTTTATTTTTATTAAGACTTAAATATGACATTATATTCCGATGAATTATTCAAAGATTTACTTGATGAATTTAAAGCAATCCAACAATATTCTTGTTAGCTTTATAAATTTCATTAAAAAAAAACTATAGGTTTTTCTTTTTTAAATAGCTTCAAGTTCTGTTACGGATGACTTAAGTGAATTATTAGCAGATGATACACACGTATTATCTCCAATAGAATCAAATGACATGGCTGATCGTACGTTTTTTTTCTTGTTTTATTTAATGAAATGTTCTTCATTACTTTAACTCATTGGTTACGGGATCCGAATATACATACATATATATATATATATGGACTAAGCTTTTATGCAGGTTATAACTTTTACAATCTTCTCATTTTCTTCAATCATAGGGCATTCTCTCTCACATATACTTTTAGCATCATAGCATCTCTATACATGTATATCAAGTGGGAAAGAAGAAATTGTGAATTTCAGGACCTATAAGAATTTATAGGCTCTCTATACGTAGAATCATACAAAACTCTATGAAATTAAACAGAAAACTGTAAAGTTGCGTAGAATCCTAGAACTATTGTTATCCTAGAAAATTTCGATTATTGCTGAAATTCTAATCTTACATCGAAGACTAAACGTTCAATTTTATTAGATCTATATTATAATATGGAAGCACAGGACTATTCATGGAACTATGCAAAAGAAATCGCAAGATAGGCTTTGGTTAACTTTACTTGACTTTGCAAGTACGGAATTATATAGTGTTGGTTGAAGTCTAACGCAATTTTATGGATTTCTTCAATTTATATAATCGATTTTAGATTTCTATGAACAAATCAGAATTTTTTTAAATTATCTTTGCAAAAATTCTGTAAGAGTTAATTTCTTCTTTAGGAATACAAAGTACTGATGAACACTTAGCCATGATTAAACCAAGTAATCCAGTATTACCAGTAATTCGTTCACATACTGGAAAAAGTGTTTTTCAAAAATAATAATACCATAGTTTTTTTTTCAAAAATCATTCATTTTTTAGTACCAACAAAAAATCTTCTTGGTACATCAATAGAATTGTCCACGTCAGTGGCTGTTACAGTTCCAACACCAAATCAATTACAAATTCTTCTTCCATTAGAAGATACATATAGAGCACGATATAAAAGTGATTATTTTCCACAAAATGGCCTTTCTCGAAGGCCACGTTATGTTGCTGATAAAGCTGGACATCACTATATTACATTACAAGTAGGAGAGAAAATAAAATACGATCGATTAAATATATTATTTCAAATATATAGATGCCAACAGCATATAAACGTGATTTTACAAATGAATATATTCGTGTTGCATTAATAACAACATCAATTGATGATCGTGGACATTTTTATAGTCCATATAAATTTCAAACAAATCATCATGATGCTAAAGTACCCGATCAAAATCCAATTTACATACCTGTATCAACACAACAAAAGAATAATTTTACTATGAAGTAAATAGTTGATATGAGAGAGAAAAAAAAAACTAAATTTTATTAACACATTTCTAGACTTCAACTTGTTTTGATTAAATCAAAATTAGATCAATTAAATGATGCTCAACCATTAAAATCATTTTCGGATACAATTACTAATATACAAAGTAAAGAAAAACTAAAAATAATTTGTTTTCCCTTTAAAAACAAATCATTTTTTTTTTCTTTACTCATATTTTAGATATTATTCATGACGAAAAATTAACACCAAAAGATTTAATCAATACATATCAACTTGAAAAATCACATATAGCATTCACATTATGTACAAAATTATCAAATGGTTTATATGATAGTCATCCTGAAACAACAGTTATTTCATCAATTATAACTGAATCATCAGCAAAACAATTAGCAATATCAAATAATAAATCAGGTAAATTATTCAATAATGTTTAATAATTATCAAATTTATTTATTATTTTCTTAGGAATGGTTACAAAAACTATCAGAAAAAAAATTTGTTGCCCAAAATGTTCACATTATTTTGATTATACTAATGATAATGTTACATTGGGAGTAAAAAAAAGACAATTAAATGCAAGTACAACACGTATAAATTCAAAAGTATAGAAAAGATTCTTTTTTATTTTGTTTTTAATATAAAATATTTTTTTCTTCTTCTTGAATATTTTTTAGTCAACTACTAACAAGCAGACCAATAGAAAGAGAAAAATTGTTAAATAAACAATTTTATTAATCATTTTCCATAACTTTAATTTGCTTATTTTACACACTATCTTTATATATATAATATATATATATATATATATGTTCTGCTATTTTCAATGCTTTTCTGAATTTATTATCAATTTGTTCTGGTTTTAATTTCTCTTTTTTTTTTCATTCGTTTCATCTTAATACAGCTGCAAGAAAGAAAAAACACATAAAAAACAATAATAGCAACTTTTATTATTAATGTAAAAGATTAGAACGAAGAGAATATTATCAACATTTTATTATTTATCATAGATTGTAAGTAATAGTTTAAAAATTGAGTTAAGTTTTAGAATATCAAATTATAAACCCAACATTGATATCAAAGTTCTTCATGATTCGTCTCATAATGACAATAATGATATAGCAAAATATTTCTTTATTCAATTTAAAAAATAAATAAATAACTATGCGTATTTAAAGTGTGATATATTCAAGTTTTCTAATGTTTTCTATAGATGATAAACCAAAAAAAAAATAGCCCAAGAAAAATTTATCATCTTCATTGTAGAATACTGAAATTCTCAAATATTAATTCTTATATATAAAGTATATTCAATGAATTCGTATGTAGGTTATTTTTGCAATTTTTTTCGACGTAGTACTATGAGTAATAGGTTATTCACACAACTAATCATAGGATTTATCCCTCATGATCAATTGTAATGAATAAGTGACTTGTTTCCATAGACACTTATTAGAAACTAACAAGAGGCAACTTCCTTTTTCTCTTTTTTTTTTCTTTTATTCTGTCTCGGTTTTTTTCTTTTATTCGATCTCGGTTTTTTTCGTTCGTTCTTTTCCGTCATTTGTTATAAATGAATAACGTCGCTATAAAAAAAAAACTACAAAACAGCTTTTATAAGTATGACGTAATACCATAACAAACAATCAATATAACAAAAGCAATATTTGTTTTTCATCAAAATAAAATTTTTTAGAGTTTAATAAATATCTTCATACATATAATATGTCTCAAGATCAATTATCAGTGGAAGAATTTCTTACCAATTTTTCAATTTACGATAATGATATTCAACAATCACTTGCATTAAATGAAAACTTATCGGATAAATGTCATGTTTTATCTGTCAATAATATTGCAATTTCGTATGATTCGATAGATTTTATCGGTAGGATGGAAAACCAACTTTACTCATTTGACTTAATATGTATGAAATTTTTTTCTATATATGTATATAGACCCACAAAATTGTGGTATCGACAAAAAGGACCTTGATTTATATTTGTCGGGGCAAGACAGTTCGAAAAGTAAGATAAAAGAATATCTGAAAAAAAGACAAGATTATTTCAGTAACCATGTTTCTATATAGGTATTGAAATTGATGTTAACGCAGATCTTGCATTGAATAATTATATTCCAATTCCATTCAAAAAACTTATTCGTAAGAAAACTAAATCTTTTTTTTTTCTATTTGATATCAATTTATAAAATTCTGTTGTCTTTTTTCATATTAAATCTAGGTGAAAATACACGTATGAAATCAAGATCTAATTCTATTCCATTATCTGAATCAGTTGGTGTTACAATGCCGAAACAAACTCAAAATTTATCGCATCGAATTGAAATCGTTCATGATCTCGAAATTGGTTATAAACCACGATATAAAAGTGATTATTTTTCTCAAGATGGAACTATACGAAAACCGCGATATGTGGCTGATCGAATCGGTAATCATTTTGTTACTATCAAAGTAATATTAATTCAATACTATTTTTAACTTATAAATCATCAATATACTTTATTGCATAGGTAGTACCTGGTGTTCAAGGTTGGATTCGAATCGATTGGGTAACCATTCCACTTGAAAACCATATTCGATATTCTATGCCTTACAAGTTTCAAACAAACAACGAATTGATTGACGTACCAGATGAGAACCCAATTTATGTACCTATTGAGGCTGATCGTTCAGGAATAATGCAGTTAGTAATTCATATCTATTATTTTTTTAATTCGATCTCATTCTTTGTTTTGGGGGAAAGTGTTAATTGTTCAAAGACAATCAGACCGAAGAACAAAATTTTGAATAGAAAAAGCTCGAAAAAAAAGAATCTCTAAATGCAGAAAGTCTAAATACAAAATCTCACAAGATAAAATATCGAATATTCAAAATCTTGAATGTTCATAAAACAGCCATTAACATTAAATTACTACTGAAGATAATCTTCTATCATTCGAACAATCCAAACGAGTATTATTAACTGCTGAATCATTCTTTTGCATGTTTTTCTGTTTTCTTTTTCATCGTTCTCTTTGGTATTTTGTATATGTAAGGTGAGAGTGTAGACTTTAACGTCGCTGTGGGTGAATATAAATCATCAATTCACCCACATTCACACTCTTAATGTCAAGACTTCAACATGCGGAAATTGATTTGAAAGAATATCTTCAAAGTTTATCATTACTCGTGACAATGGATATGAAAACTAAATATGATTCTCAAATCAATACTGAGTTTGTTTTTTTCTTCTGATGATCATATTTATTTTCACTTTTCTTTTGTGTCAATTTTCTCTCGAGGTCATGTATATTGTATTATACTCAATGTTGTATAAGTATACTGTTAATTCATAAATTATTATTATTCTTCAACAAATTGATGATTAATAAATTGTGTATCTATCAATTATTCAAATTACTTTTACATTTTACACTTTCGAGATTTTTTTTTTTCTGAATTCTTATTTGTTGTGATTTTGCATATTCGAGATTCTTTTCTTTCTGGATTTTTAGTTTCCGAGCTTTGTCTTCTTTGAGTTTTTACTGTTTCGGCCTTTCTTCGAGATTTTCGCATTCGACGAGCAATTAACATTAATTCTTCTTCTTTTTTTTTCAAATATAGACTCTATTTAGTATTAATTAAAGCAAAACAAGAAGAATTGAAATCACTTCAATCATTGAAACCATTTCCAGACATTCTTGATGTATCATATACAATTAATTTGAAATCAATGTTGTTATTCAATCCAAAACACATAATTCAAGAATATCAATTAGATAGATCTCAATTAGCATTTACATTTTGTACCTTAAGTCCAGATGGAAAATCATGTATACCTGAATGGAATACAACCGTTTATTCAACGGTTCTTACTGGTAAATAAATAATTTCTTATTTGATTAATTGAATATTTCATAATAAAAAAAAATATTTTGATTTTATAGAAATATCTACTGATATATCAAAAAAAAGAAAGGCAACTTGCCCAAGTTGTTCGCACACGTTCGAAATAACAACGGCCAGTATTCACGACCTCGATCATGATAAAACCGTGAAACGGCGAAAATAATAATTAGTGTACAAAAAAAAAAACAAGACGTGATATTACCTTTGGATACATTTGCATTTAATTTACTTGGTTTCGTTTGTACTATTTAATTTAGAAAAAAAGACCAATGTAGCTGGTATTTGACTTCTTCAAATGTAATCATATATTCAAATCGATTTACAAAATCAATCAATAATTATGTTCCTATGACTATTTTATTCAAGAAACTTAAATATTTTTTTTTCTTATTTTTATTTGAAAAAAAATTGTAATAAAATCAAATAAAAAACAAAAACAACTATAATTTACATAATGAATTTAAAGAAAAAGATCCAACAAATTATATATACATATATCAAAGAATTTAAAATAATTGTATCAAGCTGTAATGTTTTACAATCATATTAATTCTTCAAACAATGAGTTGTTTGGATGATTTATTTATGATATATGTATTGTACTCTATACAGTGGGTGAATATTTTTTTTTTTTTTAAATTTGTTCTATTTTAATTACTTGAACAATATGAATTAACATTTTAAAAAAATGCTATGATACTCAATTGTTTGTATAAATATTTCATCATTTAACGTTAATCACTTCCTTATCTTTTATGAATAACATATTACCTAATATTTTTGTTTTCATGTTTATTAAGAAAAGCCTTATCGACATATGTACAAGTCACCAAGTATACAAATAAAATATTGATACAAAATTATCTTTTCTATGACATGACCCATCTTTCAATAGATTTGCCTTCTCAATCAGACATGCAATACTGTTTTTTTTTGTGCAAGCAATGTATTATTTTGTTTTCTTATGAAACATATGAGTCATAAGTTTTTTTTTCATTCTGTACTTCCTGAGTGTAAATAGGGCACGGAAAAAACCCAATGCACACAGGTTTGCTTTTTCATATAAATACTGTATAACATAAAAACTAAAGACTATAAACAAAAAAACAATCGACAAAGGTAAGAAAGTCAATTTAGCAGCTATAAAAAAAAAGAGACAAACGATAATTTTCTTGTAGACAAGAATTTTGGTGCTTAGAATTTAACTGTATATCATCGCCCGTCACCAACATCGACGAAAAAAAAAAGATAAAAAATTAATAGTCCACAATTACTCGGAATATGGCATTTGTGAATAATGTACAATATGAACGCATATCTGTAGAAGCAAACAGCGACATTTTATTATCTATAAAAGAGGAAAATGAATTATTTCCTGAATTGGGCCTTGATCATTTATTTGGCCAAGATTTTTTTTCATTGAATTCTCCTTTTTCTAGTGAATATAATTGCCAAAATTTCACTGGTAAGATTTGAAAATAATATCTAATGGAAAATATAATGTTGTTTGATATTTTCTTTTTTATTTAGAATCAATAGGAAATCCCGTTGAATCAGATGAGCTCGACAGATATCTCGGACCAGGAAACTCTCGAGGTAAAAAAAAAATTACAAAAAAAAAAAAAGAAATAAAATATTTTCTATTAATCCTTTATTTTCAGATCTTTCTTTCGAACGTGATGATACTCGTGCATTAATAAATGATTTATTTGTATCACCTATAGGTGAGTAATGAAACTTTTCTAATTACATTGAATTATGAAATATTTTATTTTCTTATTTTTTAATAGAGAATAAAAATGAGTCAAAATCAAATAC